AAGTTTCACAACCTTGGAATATCTGTGCCTCCTATAGTTATATTTGTGTTGACTTGTGTTAGTGTCTTGCTGAGTGGTGTTCATTATTGTTGTTGCATGTTTTTATGTGTCATTGTAAGAATGTCAGAGCTTGAATTAGAGCAATGAATAAAAATTAAATTTCTTGTAAAACTTAGTAAAAGTGGAAGCAAAATCAGGGACATGGTAGTCCAAGTTTATGGGGATAATGCCATGAATACAAATGGATTAAACATTTTTCTGAGTGGAGAGAAAGCCTCACTGATGAAGAGAGGTGAAGGTGGCTAGTAATAAGCCGAACTGATGAAAACATTGCAAAAATTAATGGAATTGTGCGTCAAAATTACCAGCTGACTGTGAGAAGCATAGCAGAACAGGTAAACATCAATAGAGAAATAGGAAAATCTTAATTGAAAATCTTGGCATCAGAAAGGAGTGTGCAAAAATAGTCCTGAAGGAGCTCACCAATGAACAAAAGCAAAGGAGTGTCACAGTTTGCCAAGGAGTACACCAATGAACAAAAGCAAAGGAGTGTCACAGTTTGCCAAGACCTCTTGAAGAAGCAAGATGATACTTTGGGCCACATTATCACAGGTGATTAAATATGGGTGTACCAACACGACTCTGAAGCAAAGCATCAAAGTGCCCATTGGAAGTCAGCCAATTCTCCATGACCAAAAAGTTTCCATTAGTCCAAATCAAGAGTCAAAATGGTTTCTAACCATTTTTTAAATCAGAAGGGTTGTCATTATGAATTTTGACCAGCTGGACAGTTAAGCAAGTTTACTATTTGGAAGTGCTGAAAAGGCTATGTGAAAAAGACAAAAGTGATCTGAAGTTTTTGCCAACATCTAATGGCTCTTGAATCACGACACTATACCAGCTAACACAGTACTGACTATGAGGGAGTTTTTAGTCAGTAAGCAAATAACTGTATTGGGACATCTGTCCACTCACTTGATCTGGCCCCCAATGACTTTTTCTTTACCTTAAGATAAAGGAAATATTGAAAGGAAGACATTTTGATGACATTCAAGACATCAAGGGTAATATGATGACAGCTTTGATGGCCATTCCAGAAAACGAGTTCCAAAATTGCTTTGAAGGGTAGACATATGCTGGTGTTGGTGTATAGCTTCCCTAGGGGAATACTTTGAAGGTGACCATAGGGATATTCAACAATGAGGTATGTAGCACTTTTTCTAGGATGAGTTTGTGAACTTAATTGTCAGGCCTCTTAATAAAAGGTTGGTTAGTAGAAGTCCTTAGGGAATTTGTGTAATATTAAAATGATTGTAGGGTTATATCATTATTTATAGCAGCGTTTTTCATTTCTTTTTCCTTCGTACAAACCTTTGGTGTTGAGAGAGAAGAGAATGTTAGAGAATCTTAGATTTTTGTTTCTCCTATATGATATTGGTTTTCTTTTTTCTTTTGTGAGGGGCTGGTTGTTTACCTAGAGGACTGTTAGATTTATTAGATTAGCTTTATGTTATGTCAAGAGATTTTGTGATTTTTTTTTTCTTAGTAGCCAAGAGATTTTGTGTTTTGTAGTAACTTGTGTTCTTGTTGTTTAGCATCTTGCATCTCTTCTGCTCCATAACAAGTTTGCCACAGAATTTGTTGCACATGGTGGAGTACAGAAATTATTGGAAATTCCTCGTCCTTCTATGGCTGCAACTGGTGTATCCATGTGCTTGTATTACCTTTCTTACAACCAGGATGCCATGGAAAGAGTAAGTTTATTCAGGTCTGTGGGAATGGGATTGGGTGTGTGTGTGGGTAATCCCTTTAAAAGAACATACTTGCAGGATAATTTTTTAGTTAAGAAAAAAATAGTTGAAGGAGTGAATTTTAGTGAAGTAAGGAATGTGACTGTCTAGTCTTCACAAAGCATTCTAAAAATGTAAAGTTGTCTTCAGGTACACCAGTAATAATTTAAAAATTATAAAATTGTTTAGAATAGTTTCTATTTTTTTTAGTTTACTAGGAAGATGCAGGATGGATTGGAGACTAGGAAACTTATTTAGTTTTTACCATTTCTTTGGCATTATGATCAATTAGTCTTTAGGCACTTTTTGGATGCCTCTAAGTGGAGGGACATTTTTAAGTCATTTATTATAAAAACAACAGATGATACTTTGTGTATATTATTAACAAATAGTGATGAAAATAAAATCATTCCAGTTATTCTCACCATTGTAAGCATTCCTTATTTGGTTCTGCTGTTTTTCTAGCTAAGACTTTATCATATTTAGTGATTTTTTGTTTGTTTGTTTTAAAGAATTTTAAGTGGCTAAGGTCACATCTGTAAATCCTAGCATTCCGGGAAGCTGAGGCAGGAGGATCCTTTGAGCTCAAGAGTTCAGACCAGTCTGAGAAAAGCAAAACCCCATCTCTACTAAAAATAGAAAAATTAGCCAGGTGAAGTGGTATACACCTGAAATCCCAGCTACTCTGGAGGCTGAGGCAGGAGGATTGTTTGAGCCCAGGCGTTTGAGGTTGCTGTGAGCTAGGCTGAAGCCGTGGCACTCTAGCCAGGGTGACAAAGGGAGACCATGTTTAAAAAAAAAGAAAAGAATTTTAAATAGGTAGTACATTTGAAAAGTGAGAGGCCCCTGGACACCTTTTGGAAGACTCTTGCTGTTTCTATGCCTGGAACATTTTCCTGATATTCTGTGTGGTGTGTCTTTTCTGGTAGAGTAAAGCTAGTAAGTTTCTTCTTGACTTATATATTTATTCATCTGTCCTTTTTTTTTGGTAGTTTTTGGCTGGGGCTGGGTTTGAACCCACCACCTCTGGTATATGGGGCCAGCGCCCTACTCCTTTGAGCCATAGGCACCACCCTGTTCTTATTTTTAAATAAGATAATCAGCCTTAATTTTTGTTTATTTTGAGTTCAACCTTATGTGAGATAGGTGGTCTTTTGAGAATAATAAACTAATCTGTATGTATATATACAAAGTTAATTATGGCTAAGAGGAAAAAAGTACCAAGTAAACGTAGGAGATGTTTTATGATTTTGTTATCTGAACCATAGTAGACATCAAAATGTGTGCAGCTGTGTCAATGAGATAATGGATACTAAACTTAGTATCTGAAGCCTCAAGCCACTTTTATCACCTTGGAGAAGTCCCTTAACCTTTCTGAGAACCTCCTCCTCATCTGTTAAGTGGGAATCCTAATACCTATGTAATATACATTGTGAGCATTAAATGATGTAAATATTTGTTGGCATTAAGTAAGTATAAATTGAATTAAATATTTGTTGATGTAAATATTTTTTGGCATTAAGTAAGTATAAATTGAATTTAAATATTTGTTAAATTTAGATTGTTTTCAGGTTTGGAATGGATTATGTTCTGAAATAGCGATTGTAGAGTAAACTTTAAGAGTGACTTGACTGGCCTCGGCACCCGTAGCACAGTGGTTACGGTGCAGCCACATACACTGAAGTTGGCAGGTTTGAACCCAGCCTGGGCCAACTAAAACAACAATGACAACTGCAACAAAAAATGGCCAGGCGTTGTGGCAGGTACCTGTAGTCCCAGCTACTTGGGAGGCTGAGGCAGGAGCTCAAGAGTTTGAGGTTGTTGTGAGCTGTGATGTCATGGCACTCTACCGAGGGTAACATAATGGGACTCTGTCTCAAAAAAAAAAAAAAAAAAAAGAATGACTTGACTGGGAATGGTCATTATATTCCTTTGACCTCAAATTTAAAAGCTTTATGTTTTGTTTTTATTTTTTCACAGGTTTGCATGCATCCCCACAATGTTCTGTCTGATGTGGTGAACTATACCCTGTGGTTAATGGAGTGTTCTCATGCTTCAGGATGCTGCCATGCTACCATGTTTTTCTCAATTTGCTTTTCATTCCGGGCTGTCTTGGAGCTCTTTGACCGCTATGATGGTCTTCGCCGTCTGGTGAACTTGGTAAAGTTCTTTCACTGGTTTTTCTCTCTACCAATAGGGGTTCTGCTTGTCATGGCTGTCCTTTAGTAGCACACCATTAAAGAAAATAGCTTCTGATTGGAGGAGTTTTGTAATTGCTTATGTGAAGTCTTTTTTGTCCCTTTATTCATAAGTTACTCTTTTTCTTAGTGGTGAGCGGACACAGTATCATTGTAGACTTGCCTTGGATAAATACTATTCCACTAAGGGAATTGCTGTAGATTTTTCTGAAAGCAATAGCTTTTTGCCTGTATTTCTTTTACCATTTGTCATTTTTCAGTATAGGTTTAAGGTTTTGCTCTCTTATAGCTGCAGTTAGCATGTTGTATATGTAGATATACTTTGATATTTGTTAATTTTGTTGAGCATAAAGAATTATTAAATCTTTTCCTCCTTTTTATCCTTTTATTTTCTCTGCTTTCTTATTCTTTCCCTTCTCATTTTGCCCCAATTGTTTGTCTCTTTCTTAATAGATTAGTACTTTGGAAATTCTAAATTTGGAAGATCAGGGGGCACTTCTGAGTGATGATGAAATATTTGCTAGCCGCCAAACTGGGAAACATACCTGCATGGCCTTGCGCAAGTATTTTGAGGCTCATCTGGCTATTAAATTGGAACAAGTGAAGCAGTCACTTCAGAGGACTGAGGGTGGCATTCTTGTGCACCCTCAACCTCCATACAAGGTGAGAGGACCTTGTCTTACAAAGAAGAGTTCTACTAACACTGTAGCATCTTGAATCTGAAACTCACATTCAGATTAGTTAAATCACTTTTGGATATATTGTTGGATTAAATTTGCCATGTATTGAGGCAGAACAATTGAAAATGGAAGTAATAGGTGAATTTCAAGGACTTACTTTGCTCCTGGGTTTAAGTTGCTCCTTTTTTTGGCTATTAGAACTAAAAGATGAACTAAAGTAGGTATAAAAGGGCTTTCTTTTATGACAGGTACTAGATAATCCTGCCTCCTGTGTGGACTTTTTTTCTGAAAGGTTGTGCCTATACCTTCACTTCTGTATCATTTTGGAACTTGATGTTTTGGGATCAAGATAAGTATCTGCATATTTCAAAGATCAAAACTTGAAACCAATTACATGGTGTATCTTTCTCTTCTTGAGCTGTGAAATGTATGCATAAAGGAACCTTTTGTTATTTTGGAGGAAATGTTTTGAGTCTACTCACAAATAGATTAAATAGTATATGGTCATTATCTCTCACAAATGGGCTTTTGACTCAAGAATTGTGGAATTTGAAAGCTATTATTAGTTTTATTTTTAAAACTTGTTGGCCAGTGAGCTGTGGTTGAGAAGGTAGCAGGCAGATGATAGAGTCATATATAATAATAATACGTATCTCTCCTTTATAGGCATGTTCATATACTCATGAACAGATTGTGGAAATGATGGAGTTTTTGATAGAATATGGACCAGCGCAGCTGTATTGGGAACCAGCTGAAGTCTTCCTCAAACTTTCTTGTGTGCAACTCTTGTTGCAGCTTATTTCTATTGCCTGCAATTGGAAGACCTATTATGCAAGGTGGGACCAGAGAGTGGTTTCAAATGAAGTGTGAGCCTGGTTTTGGCTCAAGTTCATGTTGTTTTTTACAAGGCATATGCTTAATAAACATTTGTTGAATTGAATTTAAATTTTGGACTTGAATCAGAGAAACTAAATTAAGCATGAAAATATGATTTTTAATTTACAGGGTGCTTGTTTATATATACATATATGGTCTTGGTGTTTGTAAATATTGCACAATAGGCAGAGATCAACATCTGTATTCAGAAAAATTATATAATTTCCATGGTTGCAGCTACAGAGCTGCGGTTAAAATTCCACCTTGAGGTTAGAGTCCCAGTATTCTTTGGTACTTTAGAGTTTAAATGTTGCTACTACTTAACAACCATATATAATGTTTATTTTACTTTTGTATAAGACTGTCTTTTTACTCTTGGATTCAACATACTGTTATGATTTTCACAATTCAGTTAAGGGCAGTCAGAGCTGAGCAGGATGAGGCTTAGAAAAGGGCGGTTGATATAATCAGGAGGTTGGGTGGGTTCTATTTGGAGATGATGTAAAAAGAAATAAAACTATATTTTAGAAAAGATGGTCTGAAGACAAGATAGTAAGAAAGTTTATAAATAGTGTTTTTGACATTCTTTGCCTATTCACCCACTGCCATAAAGTTAAGAGGGGTTTAGGGTGAATATAATCTGTTTGCTGAATCCCAGGGCTTATTTATAATGGGGTACTTTTGGAGTAGTTCTTAAACTTTTTGGTCTCAGGACCCCTTTACCGTATTAAAAATCATATTATTAAGAACTCTAAAGAGTTTGTCTTTTGTGTTATATCTATAAATGTTTACTTGTATTAGAAAGTAAAATTGAGAAAAATGTAAAAATTTTATTTATGCATTTATTTAAAAATAATGTCAATCCTTTTCATGTTTGCATTTTTTATGAAAAATTTCCAGAATAAAACCAGATAATTTTAGCAAGTTTTAAAAAACGTCTGGCTTAATATCTCATATCTGCTTCTGTATTCAATATCACACACCACATAATCTCTGGAAAACGCCAGTATACACTTGTGAGAGAGAATGAGAATGCATTCAACAACATCTTAGTACTGTTATGAAAATAGCTTTGACTTCAGACAGGCCCTTCTGAAAGGGTCTCGAGGACTTCCAGGTATAGTTCTCGGTGACTATACTTCTAACACTGCTGTTTTAGAATATTGAAAAGAAGTATGTTATTTATTTAGAGAACTGCTCAAAGATGATTAAAGCTCCAGAAATAATTAGGAAGGATAAAAATCAATTTTTTGACTGGTAAATGTATATTTGGATATTGAAAAAAATATGTCCTTGATTTTGAAAGTTTATTTTTAAAAATAAAATTAATAATGCTTTAGAATATATAGAACCTAGAGAAAAACTACTCTTAACCACTGTTACTTTCTTTCTAGCTTTTAGTCCATGTTTTTAAATATATATAATTGAGATTATGCTATTTAATCAAATTCATACTTTTAATGAATATTTTGAAATACAGAAAGGCACAGAATAATATAATTTCTCTAATCTTAATTAGGGCTGGCATATTGCCAAATTTGCTTCTTCCTTAATTCTTGTCAATTTCTTTCTCAATTCTCCTGCTCCCCCTCCTTCTCCCCACCCCTCAGTGATCATTCTTCTGAATTTGGACTGTATTTTCTCCATTAATGTGTTAATACAATACATACCATGTGTCCATAAATAATAATGAAATACTGCTTCATATGTTTTAGAATTATGTATTTTCCTAAATGCATCTTTTACACCTTGCTTTCTTCACCCTTATGTTTTTGAGATTTGTGCTGTATTTCTATACTACGTTTATTCCCCTATTGATAGACATTTACTGAGGCTTTTTAATTTTTGTTTTTCTATTAAATAAGTTGTATTAACCTTTTGGAGTAGCTCTTAAGGATATGATGGGTAGAACCTGGGCTGTAGGGTATTTGCATTTTTACATTTATTGGATATTGCCATGTTACTTGTAAAATAACATTAATACCATTTTATTCTCTTACTAGTATATAGGAACTTTCATTTTCCTACCTTCTTGCTGATACTTGTATTGTCAGAATTTTACCTTTATATCTTACGTTTTCTACTTCATTAATGTATCTTGAGCTCTTTCTTTTATCCTTTAGAGTAGTGGTTCTCAACCTTCCTAACGCTGCGACCCTTTAATATAGTTCCTGTGGGTCACGACCCACAGGTTGAGAACCACTGCTGTAGAGTCTTTGAAAATAGTTCTCAGTGGTGTAGAGTAGTTTGGATTTGGGTATACTATAATTTATTTTTTTTGTGTGTGTGTGTGTTTTCTAATTCTTTTACTATTTTAAATGATGTGTTAATGGACATCTCATTACATAAATACTTAATTGTACCTCTGATTATTTCTTTGGGGTAGATTGCTAGAGGAGAAATGTCTGGACTAAAGTTTATGAATATTTTCTAATGTGTTCCATATATCTCTCATTTTATGTTTCCTGATTACCCTGTAGAAAGTGTATACTAATTTCTACTCCCATGAAAACTTGGAGGGTATCACGTTATATTGTCTTTATATGTACTCTTCAGCATTGGGGATTATTCTTTGTTTTTAATCTTAGCAGTTTGATAGGTAAAAATTCCCTTCTTATATTTTTTGGAAATAATGTCATGTGACTTAACAAATCCTCTCTTGATGTCACAGCTGGGCATAGAGCCACAGAGGTAGTGGTTCTGGTCTATTGTGTATCTATCTCTCTCTTTTTAACTAAGATTATTTTTTATGGCTGCATTCTAGTTTCCTTTTGACTAATTCTTCTTCCTATCCAGGAATGATACTGTGCGCTTTGCTTTGGATGTCCTGGCTATCCTCACTGTGGTGCCAAAAATCCAGCTCCAGTTGGCAGAATCAGTTGACGTATTAGATGAGGCTGGCTCTACCATCTCTACCGTAGGTAGGTTGTACCTTGTCATTTTTGCCATTTTTTGGTCTGGATTTGTTTTCCTTTGCTATTCTGATTCTGGTTACTCACTTACTGATTTTGGAATATTAGAACAAAAAATAATATGGTTCCTTGTTAGAAGTGCCAGTTTCACAAAGGTACTAATGCCAGTAAACACATGTTTTCTGCAATATTACATGTACATTTCTGAAAACCTTTGATTCTGCAAAGTTTTGCACTAAAAATAAGTTTATAGGAAAAATGAGTTGGGGTAGGTAGTAAAAGACTTAAGCAACTTTGTAATCAGTACATTTAAAAAAGCCAGTAATTGTCAAGTAGCTCAAAATGGGTAGTAACTGTCATATACATACAAAAAGGAAAATAGACTTTGTTTGCAAATATACTCTATTAAGAACAGGGCTGATGAGGGTATTGCTGAAGTGAGTATGGAAAGGATTATACTGGCTATGGGTCCTAGGATGCATTACTCTGGGGAGAAAGCCTAAAGCTCAGGGACTTGTTATTGATATTCTTAGTATGTAGTAGAAAGATTTTTGGTACCACTGTAGGATCAAAGCTGAGGGCTTTTTTCTCTTTGAAGCTGCAGAAGGTTTTAATTTATTACCATTATTGTTGCTCCTTTTATCTGGGAAAAATTGTACATGAACCTTGGTGACTTCTACATAATACTGACATCTCCTATTTAATAACTTTATATAAGCTATTCCATCATAAAGACACATTCTGGTAGAAGTGATTATAGTTTATACAAATAATCTGTTGGACCTTTTAAAAAAGTGAGGTAATTTTTTAAAAAGTAGAGCAAAATGAATAGAACTCCCAAGTTTTGACTCTGGAACAACCATTGAAGTTGGTCATTAGTTTTATGATATAATGTTTTTCCCCAATAGGTATCAGCATTATTTTGGGAGTGGCTGAGGGTGAGTTCTTTATCCATGATGCTGAAATTCAGAAGTCAGCCCTTCAAATTATCATCAATTGTGTGTGTGGCCCGGATAACCGAATATCTAGTATTGGCAAATTTATCTCTGGTACTCCTCGGAGAAAGCTGCCTCAAACCCCCAAAAGCAGTGAGCACACCCTGGCCAAGATGTGGAATGTGGTCCAATCCAACAATGGCATCAAAGTGCTCCTGTCCCTACTGTCCATCAAGATGCCCATCACAGATGCAGACCAGATCCGGGCCCTGGCCTGCAAAGCCCTGGTCGGCCTGTCTCGCAGTAGCACTGTCCGGCAGATCATCAGCAAACTGCCCCTTTTCAGCAGCTGCCAGATCCAGCAGCTGATGAAAGAGCCTGTGCTGCAGGACAAGCGCAGTGACCATGTCAAGTTCTGCAAGTATGCCGCTGAGCTCATTGAACGGGTGTCAGGAAAACCACTTCTCATTGGCACTGATGTGTCCCTGGCACGACTGCAGAAAGCAGATGTTGTTGCCCAGTCAAGAATTTCTTTCCCTGAGAAAGAGTTGCTTTTGTTGATACGAAACCATCTTATTTCTAAAGGGCTTGGAGAGACAGCAACTGTGCTGACGAAAGAGGCTGACCTGCCCATGACTGCTGCCTCCCATTCTTCTGCTTTCACCCCAGTCACTGCTGCTGCTTCTCCTGTCTCTCTTCCCCGCACCCCTCGTATTGCCAATGGCATTGCACCTCGACTGGGCAGCCATGCTGCCGTGGGTGCCTCTGCCCCTTCTGTCCCTACTGCCCATCCTCAGCCACGCCCTCCCCAGGGTTCGCTAGCTCTGCCTGGCCCATCTTATACAGGCAACTCCCCTTTGATTGGTAGGATCAGCTTTATCAGAGAGAGGCCATCACCCTGCAATGGCAGGAAAATCAGAGTGTTGCGGCAGAAGTCGGACCACGGCGCCTATAGCCAAAGCCCAGCCATAAAAAAGCAGTTGGACAGACATCTTCCTTCCCCACCTACACTGGACAGTATCATCACAGAATATCTCAGAGAACAACATGCCCGCTGCAAGAATCCAGTTGCCACCTGCCCACCTTTCTCTCTCTTTACTCCTCACCAGTGTCCTGAGCCAAAACAGAGGCGGCAAGCGCCAATAAACTTTACCTCAAGACTAAACCGCAGGGCATCATTTCCAAAGTATGGAGGGGTGGATGGTGGCTGCTTTGATAGGCACCTTATCTTTAGCAGGTAAGACGAAGCCCCCTACTCCCTGGGAATTAGAATGGTTTTTCTATTTAACTTCAAAGTGATTGGCTAGTATCAGCATGGAGTGATTGGTCCTAAAACCTTTTCCTTGGCCTGAAAATATTACTGATTGTCACTTTGTATAATACACAAACAGTGTAACTGTACCATCTTTTGCCAAGCATGGGTTCCTCATGTGGTTGTTGACAATATATTTAATACTCTGTATTCTTGTTACAAGAGAATACATCTCTGTATTCTCAAGTATGCTTTCTAGAACCCATGCAACACACTGTCCCTACTCAGGCTCCCAAGGTTGCTTTTGGGTGGTCCATGTTGCCTCCCATTCTTACTCTTTATAAATTTTACATAAAGTTTGTGGGATCATGGGTTTTTAATGTTGGAAGTTTTGTTATTTGAATTTATAAATAGAGGTCCATTTTTATCATTTGAAATGAAAATCAACCTCCGAAGGTCACTGATTTTGGAAGAACCAAGAAGCATTAATGCTCTGTATTTTCTCTTCCATCCTTCTAGCAAAATTTGCCTTTTCTGAGACCCTATATGTTCTTTGTCTCTGATTTTCTCTTTTTTTGCTTAGATTCCGTCCTATTTCAGTGTTCCGGGAAGCCAACGAGGATGAGAGTGGTTTCACTTGCTGTGCATTCTCAGCACGGGAACGGTTCCTGATGCTTGGTACCTGCACAGGACAGCTGAAGCTGTATAATGTGTTTAGTGGGCAGGAGGAGGCCAGCTATAACTGTCACAACTCGGCCATCACACACCTTGAACCTTCTAGGGTAAAGATCCCTTCCTAGGATGTTCTGAATCATCCTTCTTAGATGGGTTTAGTAAACTGGACTAAAGGAAGCTCACTCTGTATTGTGGGGGGTTTTTTGTTTATTTATTTATTTATTTTGAGACAAGATTTGGCTCTGTCACCCAGACTGGAGTATAATGGGGTGATTACAGCTCACTGCAACCTCCCAATTCCAGGACTCAAGTGATCTTGCCTTAGCCCCTAAAGTAGCTAGGACTATAGGTGTGTACTACCATGCCTGGCTAATTTTTAAATTTTTTGTAGAGATGAGATCTTGCTATGTTGTCCCAGCTTGTCTTAAACTGGCCTTAAACAATCTTCCTGCCTTGGTCTTGCAAAGTGCTGGATACAGGAGTGAGCCATGGTACCTGGCCTGAGATTTGTATTTGAGTTTGACTCATATTTCACATGGAATCTGAGGAATGTGGCTAAATAATAGGAAAAGAGGTCCCGTCTTTTTTTTAAATTGAGAACAGAGTCTCACCTTGTCACCTTCAGTAGAGTATTGTGGCGTCATAGCTCACAGCAACCTCCAACTATTGGGCTCAAGTGATTCTCTTACCTCATACTCCCTAGTAGCTGGGATTACAGGTGCCTGCCACAATGCCTGGCTTTTTTTTTTTTGCTTAGCGGGCCTGGGCAAGTTCAAACCCACTAGCCCTGGAGCATGTGGCTGGCACCCAAACCACTGAGCTATGGGTGCCCAGCCTGTCTTTGACAAGTTTTTTTCTTTATTCCCTTGGAACTATTGTATTTTTGTTAAATAAGTTCAGGAGGATTTAATATTCTCTTAAATTTAGTTAACTTTTCAGAATAGTACAAGTATATCCTGGTGGCTTCTGATAATTTCTTGCTTTCTGGTAGTTTTTCTAAGTCTCTTTAATCCAACAATGGGCTTTTCTCTCTCTCTCTCTTTTCTTTCTTTTCTCTTTTCTTCTTTCTCTCTTTTCCTCTTCTTCTCTCTCTCTCTTCCCCGCCATTTCTTTCTCTTCTTCCTAGCAGAGGTAGGTGTCTAGCTCTGTTGTCCAGATTAGAGTGTGGTAGTACAACCATAGCTCACTATGACCTTGAAAGGCTTGTACTCAGGCCATCTTCTGCCTCTCAACCCTCCTGAGAGCACATCAACATGCCCAACTAATTGGGTTTTTTTTTTTTTTTTGAGACAGTTTCATTTTGTCACCCTTTGTAGAGTTCTGTGGCATCATAGCTCACAGCAACCTCAAAACTCTTGGGCTCAAGCATTTCTCTTGCCTCAGTCTCCCAAAAAGCTGGGATTACAGCCCCCCACTACAATGCCTGGCTATTTTTAGAAACAGGCTGGTGTCGAACTTGTGATCTCTAGCAATCTACCTACCTCAGTCTCCCAGAGTACTAGGATTACAAGAGTGAGGAATTGTGCCGGTTCTGGTTTTTTTTTTTTTTTTTTTGAGATGGTCTCACTCTGTTGCCCAGACTAGAGTACCAGGGTTTAGACTAGCTCACAGCAACCTCAAACTCCTGGGTTCAAGCAATCCTCCTGCCTCAGCCTCCTAAGTAGGTGAGACTATCTATCAGTACCACCACAATGCCTGGCTAATTTTTCTACTTTTAGTAGAGATGGGTCTCAGTCTTGCTCAGGCTGGTTCTCTCTCTCTCTCTTTTTTTTTTTTTTTTTAAGAGATGGGGTCTTTCTGTGTTGCTTGGGCTGGTCTTGACTGCTTGGTCTTAAGTAATCTTTCCATCTTGGCCTCCCAAAGTGCTGACATTATAGGTATGAGCCACTGTGCTCCCAACAGTGTTTTTTATTCATATATTTTAAAATGCTAACAGTAGTTGGCAAAAGCTGCATGATATGTAAGTACATGATAACCTACATGGGGCCTTCTTCTTTTAGGATGGGTCCTTGCTGCTGACATCTGCTACTTGGAGCCAGCCTTTGTCTGCACTTTGGGGAATGAAATCAGTATTTGATATGAAGTATGTATTTGCTTTTGCATCCTTTATCTCTCTGTGTTTTATTTACCCAAAATTTATAACTCCCTTCATTTGCTTCTCAGATTGGAAGTTTTTTGGAAAAAGAGGAATGCTAGGAATTATTGCTAGCTGTTCCCTTTCTCATTTAAGGTTCCTGTTTAATAAGATGTTATCTTTCTTTCTTTTTTTTGAGACAGTCTCACTATGTCGCCTTCAGTGGAGTGCCATGACATCACAAACTCTTGGGCTTAAGTTATTCTCTTGCCTCAGCCACTCAAGTAGCTGGGACTACAGGTGCCCGCCGCAATGCCCAGCTATTTTTTGTTGCAGTTGTCATTGTTGTTTAGCTGTCCCGCCCTGGGTTCGAACCCCCTAGCCTTGGTGTATGTGGCTGGCGTTTGGGGCTGTGCTATGGGCCCCGAGCCGAGATGTTATCTTTCTTAATTCCTAGATTTTCTCATAAGGTATATACATTTCCATTATGCAGCAGATCCTAACTCACACATCTGTGTATTTTCCCATGTTTACATATGACAGTTAGTTGCACTCTTTGCTATATTTCAAAAGCACATGTGCCCTGTTAACCATTTTACTAACCAGGGAATTCTCATTAATTATTTTTGGTCTGCTTTGACAAATTGATGGATAGAATTTTCTTTTTAATCTTAAGTGTACAATTGTTTTCTCTGAGAGCCAAGGATCTTCAGGTGAGTATGGTTGTGCAAGAGGCTGAGGAGCACCTTTATTTTTAGTTGGCTAAAGGAGTATGTCTTGAAGGTCTGTTACTTTAGTACTCCTTTGTTTGTTCATAGGCATTCCTTCACAGAAGATCACTATGTTGAGTTCAGTAAACACTCTCAGGATCGGGTCATAGGCACAAAAGGAGACATTGCCCATGTAAGTACTAAAGAATTTATTGCTTTCAAGGTGATGATGCCCATCTGTTCATACTAAAATCTTCTGGACTGAATGTGAAGATTTAAATCCTGTTGACAACTAGAAATTACTCAGTGATGTTCCTTTTAATTAGAATTTAGAAATGTAATATGGTAGTTTTAACTATGTGGGCAAAATGTTAAAAGGTCTAAACAAGAACTTAATCTGGGAATTTGAGAAAAATGTCATTAGCACAGCAGATATTAATATTTTTTAGATAATACTAAGTTTTAGATGAAATAAAGTCTCTACTTTTATGGAGTCTCATTGGGGAGACAGTAAATAAAGATGTGGTGTGTTAGGTGGTAAGTGCTTCAGAGAAAAAGAAAGCAGTATAAGAAATAGGAAAAGCTCAGTGATGTGTGGGACTTCTGTTTTTAACTAGGCTAGTTACCATCACTGATTGGGTAAAGTTTAAGCAGAGCCTTGAAGGAAATGTGTCGTGCAAATACCTAGAAGAGTGTTCTAAGGTATGTAACAAAATGTGATAGAGCCACATTGAGCCACAGGTGACGCCCTAGTTGGCAGGTTTTTAAGGAAAAGGGGTATTGTGCTGATGCCTTTCTCCAAAATGTAGCTCTTAAAGAGTGTTCTAAGGGGAAATAGCAAGAGAAAAGCCTGTGCTTGGGAAGTGGGAAGGAGAAGAGAGGGTAGAGCTAAGATTAGTGAGGAGGCCTTATCTAGTAGCATCTTGCAGGCAGTAGTTAGAACCTTCGGCTTTTCCTTTGAGTGTTATGAAGACATGTGCGGGTGAGCAGAGGATATAAAGTTCTTAAAGCATGACTCTGGTTTCTGTGAGAGTGGCAAGAGCAGGCAGGCCTTCCACCTAGGACATTATTGGACTAACTGATAATGTGAGAGGAGCAGTGGAGCTGGTCCCAAGTAGGCATGGCAAAGGTGATGAGCAGTGAGAAACCTTGTCCTGGGGTTTTAGACATGTGAAGTTTGAGATTCTATTAAACCAGGGATTCTCAAACTTTTTAAAGAGGGGGCCAGTTCATTTTCTCTCAGACCATTGGAGGGCCGGACTGCGGGCCCCGGGATGAGTGGGCTGCTAAGCAGGACAGGCAGCAGCGGCAAAAACACCCGGCAGGCCAGATAAATGTCCTAGACAGGCCACATGTGGCCCGCAGGCTGTAGTTTGAGGACGCCTGTATTAAACATTCAAGCAGGGAATGTGGAGTTGAATACACAAATTGGGAGTTCAGGAGAGAGGTCTTGGATGAGAGAGATAAATGTGGGACTTGTCCACATATTACTATTTAGAGATATAAAACTAGATGAGATCATCAAGGGAGCTAGAGAAGAGAAGAAATATTAGACATAGCCGTGGCCTCATGTGCCAGTTTCAAAAGTTGCCAAATGAGGAACTTGGAAGCTAGATCAAAGAGAGTGGTCAGGAAGACAGAAGGAAACCCCAGGAAAAAGGCTTCTGTGCCCCAGAAGCCAAGGAAGGACTGTGTTTTGAGGAAGGATTGATCACCTGGATCAGAAACTGCTGATGAGTTGCATAAGATAAGAGATGACCTTTCACTTAGCAGTGTGGAATTGATTGTTAACCATGTCAAGAAATAGTTCTGTACACAAGGGTGTGAGATGGGGGAGGGGCAAAAACTGAATTAGAGATTGCTAATTAGAAAATAAAGAAAGAAATGGACATACTGAATATAGACAATTATTTCCTTTGAAGTGTTTTTGCTGAAAAATGAAGCAGAAAAGTAGGATAGTAGCTTGGTGGGGGAGGAATATGAGATGGTAAAGCAAAGGTTCTCCCCTCTACTTTTTTTTTTTTTTTTCCCCAATTTTGGCTGGGGCTGGGTTTGAACCCGCCACCTCCAGCATATGGAGCCGGCGCCCTACCCTTTGAGCCACAGGCCCCGCCTTTTTTTTTTTTTTTTTTTTTTTGAGACAGCATCTCACTATGTTGCCCTTGGTAGAGTGCCATGGCATCACAGCTTACAGCAACCTCAAACTCTTGGGCTTAAGCGATTCTCTTGCCTCAGCCTCCCAAGTAGCTGGGATGACAGGCACTGCCACAACGCCCAGCTATTTTTCTGTTACAGTTATCATTGTTGCTTAGCTGACCTGGGCCAGGTTCAAACCCACCACCCTTGGTGCATGTGGCCAGTGCCCTAACCACTATGCTATGGGTGCCAAGCCTCCCCTCAGCTTTTTATATGAAATTGTTAAAACATTCTCTTTTCTTTCTTTTTTTTTGAGACAGAGTCTCACTGTGTCACCCTCAGTAGAGTGCTATGGTGTCACAGCTAACAGCAACCTTCAACTCTTGGGCTTAAGCGATTCTTTTGCCTCAGCCTTCAAAGTAGCTGGGACTACAGGCACCTGCCACAACACCTGCCTATTGTTAAAACATTTTCAACAGAAAAGTTAAAAGTGTAGTGCATATACCTGCCACCTAGATTTATTATTTAATATTTTGCCATATTTTTTTCTGTATAAGTGAATGAGTATGTGTGTGTGTTTCTGAATCATTAGTAATTTACAAACATCATGGCATTTTATACCTAACACTAATACTAGGTGTTTCCCAATAGTAAAAACATTTTATTACATATCACGCAATTACTACATTTAAGAAAATTTATAGTAATTCCCAAATATCTTTTTTTAATTTGAGTCAGAGTTTTACTTTGTTGCCCTCAGTAGAGTGCTGTTGTGGCACAGCTCATAACAACCTCAAACTCTTGGATTTAAGCAATTCTCTTGCCTCAGCCTCTCAGATGGCTACAATACCTGGCTATTTTTTTAGAGATGAGGTCTTGCTCTGGTTCAGGCTGGTCTTAAACTCATGACTTTAGTCCACCTACCTCGGTCTCCCAGACTGCTAGGATTACAGGTGTGAGCCACCATACCTGGCCTGATCCCAATATCATCTAACATCCAGTCTATACTCAGTTTTCCCAGTTATTCCTGATGTATGTGGTTTCAGTTTTTTTTTGTTTGTTTGTTTTGAACCAGGATCCAGCCAAGATTCATATATTGTATTTGGTGGTTAAGTCATGCTTATGTTTTAAAGACAAGAACCATTCTCCAGTTTTCATGACATTGACTTTTGAAGAGACCAGACTGGTTGTCTTTTTTTTTTTTTTTTTTTTTTT